ATTCTCCGTTGGGCCACGGAAGCAGTAGCTGGGTGGCGGGCACGTCCGAGAGTTGCATCACCCCGGACCAGGTCCCAGCGGTTTGCGAGCGGGGATTGGTTGTGATAGACGAGCCATACACTGCTCTGAGTCGCCGGTGTGCGTTGTGCGCCTTTGCTTGTAGCTGCCCGTGAAAGGACTTCACTGAATTCGTCCGCCGTGATGTACGAGCCCTTTTTGGTCTTCCCGCGCGATGCAAAGCAAAGATCGTAGAAGACAAGCACCTGGGCGTTGGCCTTGATCGTTGGCTCCTCCAGATATGTGGGAGGCCCCCATCCCGCCGCCATTGCGGCGAGGATACCAGTGATTCCAGTTGTGCTCATCGAAGGCTGAGCAAGATGTGTCTCCGCGATGTTCCAGATGCCATGCGGGAGGTCCAGAACATAGTCAACCTTGTTGATGAGTCCGCTTGGGTTAGTGGTGCCAATGTTGATGAGAGGTCCTGGATTTGAAGCCTCCCCAATTCGACGAGTGGTCCCATGCCAGTGAGTATCCGACCTTGGTTCGCGGTATGCCGCGCTGTGCAGGAGGAGAAAGGCAAGATACTCGCTGGCAGGTCTAATTGGACAAGAAGTCCGTGGCTCCAGTCTCGGCACGGAGTGCATCGATGTGGACCAGTGTGGCATGCCGTAGAGCTCAAGATCGACGTTCCCACAATCGACCATTGAATCCAGGGGCAAATGCCAGGGAGTCCATTGAGTATTGTCGCAGACAGAGGGTGCGAGGGGATCAGGGTGAGCGGATGCAGGGCAGCTCCCACAGGCATGCTGTCCTGCGGTCATGATGACCAATTGGAGGGTCAAGAGGAGGTGGAAGAGGCGAAGGTGGCGCCTGGGGAGAGAAAGCACTTGGGATGCGCCATGCCCAAGCCCGGGGTGACCTAGTCACTCTGTCCGATGCTTCTTTTGCAGAAGTCCCTCAAGATTGGCGAAGCCTTTGGCCATGTCTTCACGAAGATGAACGCCCTGTTGAGAGACGTGCTGCCCCAGTGTGGTGAGCTCCGACTGCTGGTTTTGAACGGTGTGGGCAAGCTCCTGCAGTTGAACCTGCGTGTGTTGGTTGGCTGCAGCGGCATCATTGAACCATTGTTCGTAGCGAATGTGGTGGTGCTTGAGTTCGGCAACATTGGCCTCAAGCTGCTGAATGCGGTTGTCTGAGTTGGTGGGCTTCATGTCACCAGTGTCCATGTCCTGGTGGCCATTCCACTGAAAGTCCTCGAGCTCTTTGCGTATGGTGGACTGGATGTCCGTGCGAAGGCGTTGTTCGACCTGCTGGATCTTGTCTGTTGTGGGGACAGATGAGGAAGCACCTGAACTCTTCTGTGTCCAGCTCGCCCAAGGGTCAGGGCCAGTGGTCCATGGATCTGTGGTGGTGGTTTTTGAGGTGATTTGTCCTCTCAGGAACTGCTGCGTTTTGCTGGAGGCGACAACTGGTTGGGCATGAGCGTCCTGCTTAGCGGAGCGTAGCTTGGTGATAGTGACATCACCGTGGGTGCTCTGCATGACGAATTGAGGAGGAGGGTGTTCAGCACCGACTTCCCAGGCAGCCCCAGCGGCATCACCACGAGCAGGTTGAAGTGGTCGTGCTTTCCATGCCCAGGATCGCAGAGTTTTGATCAGGCCATTGCGTTGTGTTCCTCGTGGAAGCGGGTGAAGTCTGTAGATGTCCACGATCTTGACTTCGAGATATTGTTCGTCCGGCTTGAGCTTCTGGTGCGCTTCAGGAAGCGCGGTGTGTGGGAAGCGGATCCCATAACGATCCTGGAATCGGGTGATGGCAATGGCCTTGTCCGTGGTTTTCTTCTTGTGCATGGCCTCCTGAAGGGAGATGCCATTGAGCCAAACGATGCCATAGGCCTCCGAGGGTGATCTGCCTGAGCTGTCACGAGGGTCAAAGTAGATCCCAAACGAACCTGAGCAGCTGATGATGGTGTCTGCCGCGAAGGTCGGGACTCGAATCGAGGCACTCCAGGTGGTGGCAGTGTCACTTGTGGCTCTGTTGCCTCGTTGGTTGGTCCACTGTCTGTTCCAGAGGTCCATGATGATGGCGTTGATCTGTTCCTCATCTACCGGCATGTGGTAGCGAGGACATGCTTCACCGCAGGCAACGCTTTTGCAGAGAGTGAGCACTGGTTGTTGTTGCAGTACTGCTTTCATAGGTCCAGCACCAAAGTCGCTCCAGTCTCCAGGCCATTGGTCCCGAAAGACCTGTAGCTTGAGGGTGGAGGTGTCGGTGGAGACAATGCTGGGACGATTCTTGTGCTGCTCGCGATTGACCCGAACTTGCCCGAGTTGGATGAGGCTGCCTTGCACCAAGACTGGCTCCTGAGTGGGTTGGTGCATGGCTGGGTAGACGAGATGCTCAACCGGCAAGAGGCCAATTTGCTCCTGTGGAACGCAGGTGGTTGTCAAGACTGCGAGAGGGCCATCATAGAGTGGTTGGTCATCTTTGAGGTAAGGGACCATCTCTGCAACCGTGGCAAAGGCAAGGCCCGCGTGCTTGCCGATGCGGTCAAAGCAAATGTGCGGTATGTGTGTACCGTCTTCAGCAAGGAAGGAGCCGGAGATGATCTGCAGATCGCCAGGGCATACTTGAAGTGGTGGCTTCGGTGTCGAGGAAGTAGCTTTGCCTTTCTTCCTTGGTTCAATGCCAAAGCGCTGCTCGCCTTTTGCTTTGACCTTCTGCATGAGCTCTTCATGACGTAGCCACAGGAAGTTGTTGCCAGGTTGTGACGCAAGGCTTTTGAGAGCTGCCCAAGGGTTCTTGCTGTTGAGCGAGGCTTGGAGGTCCTTGGTACTCAGCTTGCGAGTGGCCAGGAGAGCACGGTCATGTGCTCGGTCAGGAGGTACTCCTTTGTCGACAAGGAGTGGGATGAGTTGTTCAAGGATTGTGCTGTCGGTGGTTGCTGGACCAGTGGGAGCAGTGTGCTCAGTGGGTCCTCCATGTTGTGAGAGGATGCGAAAATGGGCATCGAAGATGGAGTCGTAGATGAAGAGGTCCAGGCATGTTGCAAGGTGAGCAAGGGCAATGGTGCCACAAGTGAAGTCGTCCTCCTGTCGGTAGTGGTTGATGGGAGTGATGGAGAGGCACGTTGTTTGCCAGGCATTGGCAATAGTTTTGACAAGGTGAAGTCCGCCTTGCAATCCACGTCCAGGCAGCCCATCAAGTAGAAGAGCATGAAAGCCCCCTTCTTGCGGGAAACAGGCAAGAGTTGCCCAGTGGTCATCGTAGGCGTAGATGGCAAAGAGTGGGCAGGTGCTGTCAGGGATCTGTTGCCAAAGTTCATGTCCAGCAGGGAGTTCAGGTTGTTGAGCGAAGAACGAGCTCAGAAGCGGTGGCAGGAAGTGAATAGGATCTCCATTGAGTTCACCGTGGTGGTGCGAAATGGTGCGAAGCTCTCCTTCAATGTGTGCGTCCCCAAGTCCAGGGCCATGGTGGCCTTGAGCCGTGTATTGTGGTTCCCGATGCAGACGGTATGGACCATACCTGCCTTGCGTCTGAAGCGTGGCCTGCAGCGGAACTCTGATGTGGCCATCCCAGAGCGAGATGGATTGCTCTCCATGAAGTTGAGCTTCTGCAGCAAGTAGATCATGTACTTGTTGGTGTCCCTCACGAAGGACGTTGATGTAGAGCTGGTGATTGTCGAGAATGTGGATGTGCCTAGTGGCATGTGACTCCTCTGTGATCCAAAGGTGGTGTCGTTCAAGTAGGAGAGTTTCCTTGTATTGGGTGATGAGGTCAACGGGGTTGCAGAGTGGCGTCCAGCAACAGGCCTCCTGCACAGCTCTCACAAGATGTGATACAACCCAGCTTGTAGCGGTGCAGCCACCTGTCCGAGGAGACAAAGTCCATCACGGGGTTGCCCGACATACTTGATGCCTTGTGGAACCGTGTGAAGAAGGGCTGCCTCTTTGGTGTGGAGGAACCTGGGTGCTCCGTGGATGAGAGATCGCACGTAGTAGCCACGAAGGCCTTGCTGAAGAAGGCGATCCATGCAGAAGGATTGGCTGCGGCAGCCACATGGGCACTTCGAGAGCGCGTTCCCATAGGAGTGGAGGATCGTTGGAGCGGGAGCTGAAACTTGTAGTAGACGAAGCTCCTCACCAAAAACCGGGTTGGTGTAGAGATCAAGCTCGCGATCGGTGAGCAGGAGTGCCTGCTCCTCCTCCTTCGTCCACATTGGCCAGTTAGGAATCACGTGCTCCACAGTTGTGAGAATGTTGGCATTGGGCCAGGCTTGAAAGCTCTCCAGGTTGAAGGTGGATGGAGCGAGAATCGCCCACCACCTGTCTCTACGCGCTGGCCATTGGTGATGCAGCGAGAGGATGGCGGTCTTCACCTGCCAGTTCTTGAGACCAGCTAGGTAGTTGAGGTTGTCCATGATGAAGCTGTGGTTCTGGACCGTGGCAACGCATTCCAGGATGACCGCCGAAGCTTGGGTGAGCCATGCGGCCTTCAAGGTGGCCCCAAAGACCGCTGATCTGGGATCTCTTTCTCCACGTTGATCTCCCTGTCGAGAGTATGGTTGGCACGGGAAGCCAGCCGCCAGAATTGCAGGTTGAGGTCCTCCTGCAGCATGTAGTTGCGCGATGTGGGCGTTGTCACAGACATTGCCCCTGATCACGTTGTTCGCACCATTTGCTCGAAGCTGGGAGCAGGCTAGCTCGTTCTGGTCCAGGTGGGCGACCGATTGTACGCCTGTGTGGCGAGATCCAATGGCAATGCCACCCATGCCAGCACAGACCTCCTTCATCCGCCGGAAGTGCGCGATGTGGGGCTGCTCGTGTTCAAACCACTGCGTGTCCTCCAGGAGGTGAGCAACAAGGATGCCGTCGTGCTGGTGGATCATGATGTTGTACACAGTGATGGAGCATGAAGTAGACAACAGCTCGGGCGGGCAGAGGAGGGGGCCACCGAAGGGCACGATCTGCATGTAGCCCAAATCACCATAGGCCTCCATCTCAGCTGCAGCCGGTGCCAAGATGCCAGACCATCGGCTCATGGGCACCGGCTTCTCCATCCAAGTGGGCGAATCCATGAGCGAAACACCCGGCGATCAGCTGACCCCGTCCCACCGTCTGGGAGGCGCTCGGGCCGAGACTCCTTCTTGGAGACAAAACACAGAAACAAAAACGCCGGCCGGCGCGGGAGAAAACCCACCGGGCCGGCCTTGGCAAAGGCCCAGGTAAAGGTGCCCTGCACCGTCCTGGCCAGCCCAAAACTGGGGGCTGGGGGCTCTAAGGCTGGCGGCTGGTCAAGCAACCTGGGTTGAAACGGCAAAAAGCCCAGGGGGGTGTCTGCTTCTTGCTTTTTTCGAGCAGAAACGCCACAAAGCCCCAAATGGTTCGGCCAAAAGTGCAACAGCACCCTAGCAATGTTCTGACATTGGGGCCTCTGAAAGGGATCTGAAGCCGTTTCAATCGGGGGCCCTTTGGTGGGGATGAAGGACCAACATTTTCTGGCGGGTCTTCCACATGAAAATGCACAGCCACATGAGGGAACCACCTAAGTGGTTGGATGTGGTCGGCGAACATGAATCCCCAGCTAAATGATGTCCACAGGATCCGGGACCTATCCATATAGCCTGTGGTTCAATCCCCCATAAAATAACGGTGGACCCCAATTTGGATGATGAAACTCCTTGGCCAAATGGTGGAACTACAACCCATCCCAGGGCCAGGGACAAATCTGACCTCCATTTGCTTTTTCGCCCCCTGGAACAAATAATTGAACATATGTCCAGTCGTGAAATCGATTCCCCCCCAAAAAAACAACGGTTCGAAAACACCAACAACATATTCCTTTAACCAAATGGAAACCAACCGGTAAAAAAACACACACACAAACATATTCCTAAAACCCAATGGGAAAAGATGTACCCAGACCGACAAAACCACCCGCGGGGCGGGGCCCCGGGCCCCTCGAGGGGCAGCTCCGCATCCCACTCCTGCAGCCTGGCGTTTTAACTTCCGCCGGCAGCCGCGGGGGTTCGGGTCCGTTTGAACCCAAGGAGCGACCAAGGAGCGCCCGATGCCTCCAGAGGTGTCCAATTTTGTTTTGCTTTTTTGCTTAGCACATGGCTGTGGCGAATTCCAAAAATCGAGATTCCAAAATGGGTTGCCCTGGCAGGAAACATGGACCAAAACCTGCGGTTTGCCCCTCCTGGTTAATTTTGAGCCACACCCACATGCTTGAGGCAGAAATCCAGAAATCGGGACGGGTCCAGGCCACAAGCCAGAAGCCTGTCATCTCTTGAAAGCAGACCCTGCAAATAGATGGATTCCCTGGTAGATTATGAAACCACCGGGTCAACCAGGAATCGCCAACTATGTTCTACCGAAGCAACCGAACAGGAGACTTCTGGCCTCTAGTTTTGGCCTGTTGACCCAACTAGCCAGCCACCCCAAACACACCGGTCCCAGTTGCTTGGTCTTCTTCTGCATCTTGCGAAAAAGATCGCCCACCTTCCATTTGGTTTGGACCCCTGCAAAAAACTGAACATATTTCCAGTAGTGATGATCTCTTTTTAAAACCAACGAGGGAGAAAAACAGTATATACATATATATATTCATTTCAGCAAATGGAAGCCACCGAGTCTGAGTCCCGTCCCGTCCCTTCTCCTGCAGGCGCAGAAGCAGTGCAGCTTGCAGCTGGGGAAGGTCTGAGGCCGCCAGATCTGCGGCGGCGTGTGCTGCACCGGCAACTGCGGCAGCTCCAAGAACCTCCCGGCGGGTGACGCTCACCGGGGGTGGCCGTTTGGGAAAATCGATGGGTTCCCCTGGCAAATGACATGAAACCCATCTAAACCAGTGGAACCCATCCATGTTTTAGCAAACTCACCAAAAAGGACACCTAGGCTGCCCGTTTTCGAATCCCCCGCGAAAAGTGACTAACTTTTAGTGGGTGAAATGGAAAGCACCACTAAACACTAACAGGCTAAAAAGCTAAGGGGATGGCTGGGAACCACCAAGTAACCAGGGGTCTTGGGTCCTGACTTTAGTATCAAAGTAAGTGCTAGGCGCTAACGGGTTCTAACAAATGGATTGTAGGATTCGACACACACACACACACACACATGTTCACTCCCAAACCGTTCATCGGACACGTTCTCTTTTGTGGGCGGGGGGGGCGAGGGGAGCGACAGGAGTCGGTTCCATGAGAGAGTCGGTTCCATGTTGAGCTCCTTTTCACATGGGTGTCAGGAGCTGTGTCCAGAGAGGTACTGGAAAGAAACGTCGAAATCTGCTTTTGGATCTCCTTGGACTAAACTTGCTGGTGCCATCATTGAAAGAAGTGGACCGCGACAAGATCGGGAATGAGCCAGCAAACACTTCAGCGCTCACCCCGTCCCGCCCGCCCGCCCACCCACACCACTCACCCAAAAAACACCCACACACATACGCAAAAACAAACTGAGCGCGGTTGTTTCCCTGCGCCTTTTCCACCCCAAAGCACCTGTCGAACAGAGAAAGTCGACCAAATATCAATCCTCACGCCCCCCCGCCCCCCCCCCGCCCCAAAAAAAAAGAAACTTCGGAGCCCCAGCTTCCCGGTCTCCCTCGAAACGGGCCAAAGGGCCTCGGCCGGCTCACAAAGTCGAAGAGCTTCTCATAGTCCACACCTCAGCCACACCCGCGAGGCGGCGCGCCACTCAAAAGGATGGGGCCAATGGATGGCTCCTCAAAAGGGTTCCCTGATCGAAAAGGGGTCCACCATGTTTCAAGCTGCCATGGGCGAGAGCATGAAATGCCTTGCCCAACTTGTATCGTCAGCAAATAAGAAACATAATGTTGCAAAATAAAGGGACATTAGAAAGGACAGGATGAATGAACACTCATCAAATCTTAACCCATTCAGCCATCACTTGGCATTAGCTAGATCTCATGTCTCTCTTCTTTCCCAACCTGCTCATCTCTGTCCCATTCCTTCATCTGTGTCCTAGCGAATGAAGTGAGTGGTGGGTTGGGATATGAAAGACACCAAATCATGTCCAATGAGCAATAAATAAAGCAAAGTGATAGGTGCAAGGGAAAGGAATGCCCCATGATCTTCACTCCTTTCGTTGAGGTTAGCGAATGCATGGGCAGGATTAGCTTGTAAATCCTGAGATCATCAATTGGTATATTGGATATGACCAAACAAATTTATCCTAGCTGAAATAAGCACTGGATTGCCAAGAAAGGAAACGTAGCACGGGTGTTCAGTCGCAACCTACAAAACAATGAACACGTGAAACACACACACAGAGACAAAGATATATATATATATATACACCGACACACAGATAGCACACCCACCCACACTCCCCCACCCCCACTCCCCCACCCACACTCACCCACCCAGTCGCACGCAACCACACTGACAAAAACATGAACCAACCCCCAGGTGGCACATATTGCCCATTGCTCTCATCCCGCCCCAGGTCCCAAGGTTTAGGAGAGCCACTGCCCGTTCTGTGCCGTGCCACTGCCGGGCATTGTTTCGGCCCGACCCAAAAGTTGTTTCGAGGATTGCCGCACGAAGTAGTTGGTCGGGACACCTTTCAGGAAGAACCGACACTTTAGGGGGAACCTAAAAAAGGAGAGACAGACCCAGAAGTGGGTTGGAAGTTGAAACCTAGGTGACGAGCAAATTGCTGGTGCTCACTAGGGAATGACCTTCCGGGTGTTGGGAATAAACCGTTTTGGGGATTCCCGAATCAAGGAAACCACCAGTTGGATGGGTAAGGGGTCATTCCAACTCATTCCCTGTGAACCAGCAAGACAACCATCTTCTGGGTCTGTCCTTTTTTTAGGTTCCCCCCAAAGTTGTGTTTTATTCCGGAAAGGAATGAAGTGGGTTAGAAGTTGAACCTGGGTGACGAACCACCTACGCACTGACCCAAACTCGGTTGCTTTCTGCTCCCCTGCTAAAAGTGACTAACTTTCAGTGGTTTAATTCGGAAAACGAATTAGCTGGCAAAAAGTTAAGGTCCTAACATCCCTTGGCAACATGCACCAAACATGGGTGTCCTTTTAGGTTGGAAATAGATGGATTTCCCTGGTAGATGATTAAACCACCAGGTAAACCAGTGCCATCGATTTTTCAACCAAAACAACCAAAAGGGACACCAACTGTGGATGGGCGCAATCCTGCACCTAAGAAACCCTGGTTTCTGATGACTCCCCTGCAAATACCAACGAACATGGTTTTCCCATGGTTTCAAAGTGGCGCGAGAAGCGGATTTCGTCCCTCCGGCGAAGCCCAAAGCCGAGGCCCCGGCGCCCGCGGGTGATCTTCGGGAAGGTGGGGGGCGGGTTGCAGCTGGGGCTCACGCCTCGCGGAAGGAAAATCCGAAGCTTCCATTTAGTTAAGATTTTTGTAATTTCCCCTGTTGGTTTTGAAGGAAATCTATCACTACTGGAAATATGTTCTTATTCTTGTCCAGGGGTGTGTGGGGCCTTGTTTGTACCGTACCTTGCCACCCTTTGTCTGAACCCCCCTAAGACTACGAGAGTGTTCATTGGTTCCCTTCAAGGCAAAAGGGGTCCACCGATCAGGCGGACCCAAGACTCAACTGGACTGGATCGGGGTGGTTGGGCCATTCTGGTGGTGTGGGGGGGGGGGGTTGACAGAGCTGTTTTTTTTTCAAGGGGTTTTGAAAGGGGGCCTCCCCCTTCCAAAACGGCACGTCTCGAACCCCCAAAACAAAACTCCCGGCGCCGGCTCTGGGGCCCCAGCCCGGCAAGGAAGGGTAGGAGCAGTCCAGCAGCGTGGTGAGAGCTGGGCATGTGGGGTTTCCGCGAGGGCCCCGAGCTACCTATGCCTTGAGGGGCCAATTTGGAAGCTGACTTTCGTAAGGGGTGATACTGTGGATGGACGAAATCCATTTCGCACCACTTAAGAAACGGCGGAATGATGATTCCTCTGTAAATACCAACAATGAAATGGATTCCGATGGTTTCCAAGTGGTGCAGTATTTCGTCCAGCCAGAGTATGTTTTAAGGAGACCTGTTAAGAAACGTGAGGATTCCCTCCCAGGGTCACATGATCATTCGACCATGTTTGAAAGAGTGCCCGTTGGCAAAGGGCACAATGTGCAAGCGGCTGGTCAAAGTGACCCCGGCACAATGTCCCGAAGGTTGAAAAAAAGAGAGGTCAAATTGTCCAACCCGACCTTTTTCCACGGAACGGAATAGGATCCCGGCACAAGAAAATCGGTTCCTGGACAAGGGAGTGCCAACAACAATTGCCTTAGGAGAGCACCGCTGGCTTTTTGGGGTGTCATCTTTGAGCAAAACTCGGGGGGTCTTGGTTGCCGCCCGATTCGAACGTGATTTACAAGGACACCAAAGGGAAACCGCCCATGTGTTGCTTGAGGGGGGGGGTGTCCCTACTTGGAGACAAGCCCATGAGGCAAGAAGTTGTAGCCGAGGCCGGCGCTTGCACCAGCGGGGATCTGCGTGATGTAGCGGTTCAGCCTAGTCGGCCAACCATGCCACGGTCAAAACTGCCATTCCCGTTGTGGACGTGGATGAGTCCCCCGAGTTTCTGGGGGGAATCTAGAAAATCCCCCCATGCCCCTCCCAAATGGACAATCGAGGTTGGAGTCTGCGCACTTGAGGTTTCAGGACCCCGCTCGGGTCGAAAACCAGTTGTGAGGGGAGTCCCCACAGTCCCCGCATCAAGAAACCTGACTGTCTGCCTCAGCTTGCCGATAGATCTGAGACAAGAGAAACCCTATTTCTTGTTGACAAGAAAACCCTATGGTTTTGTTTCCTTTCGACATCACCAAGAGGAATCTCACCCAACATCGGTCCTCAAAGGGAGGCTTGGAAGGGAAACATAGGGAACCAACATCCACACAGCAGGCTGCTAAACAATGGGCCACCGACTTGCTTTGGGGTCTCCACAAGCTTATGGCCAACTTCGGCCACCTAAATGACTAAGTGCCATACTCTCCATTTCAAGGGCAGGTTCCCTACCACAGAGGCGGGAACCAATCCAGGAAACCCCCAAGCCAAAGTGTACCTTTCCCACTAGCTAGGAACATGGCACAAGATCCCTCTGCCAGGGAAAACGAGTTTCTGCTGGATCTGATCCATTTCGCCTCAGGCAGCTTTCAACGAAGCTCCGGGTGTATGCTTCAAATTGGGATTTTGGGTTCCAACCCACAACGAAATGGTTGGTTCACCTCTTCTCTTCTGATTGCTTTCCTTGTGGCCCCCCTCCCCTCTCAAAAAAAGAAACCTGGTCGGTGTAGTCGTCTAGCCTCTGCTTCCCCCCCGCCCCCCCAGGAAAATCGAGAAATCCAAGGAAACCCAAGCCCACCCCCCACCTCACCCAAACCCCAAAACAAACAAGCATCACGCAAGGCTAAGGAAATCCCCCCCCACTGCTTTGGGGTCCCCGGCTCCAGCATGGAGATGAGCCGGTAGGCCCCGGAGGCCCGCACCTCGGGGGGTCTCTGAAACCTCAACAACCAGAGGAAAACCCACAGACTTGGCATGGATTCTCCCTGCCCACGTGGTATGGGCTTGTCTCCAAAGGAGACACCCCCAACCAAACGAAGAATATGGTTGAGTTTGGTCATATGAGATGGTCCGCATGTAGCGAACCTCTACATGCAAGAGAAGCCCCGTGGAAAACCAAAAAAGAACCCAAGGCCCAAAGTGTAGAGCCTATGAAAACTAGGGACCCCTTCTGGCCACTTTGACAAAGAACCCAACACACAACCAGCCATGTGGAGGGGCCCTAATTTTCACACTCTTGTCCATATGATGGTCGCAGGACATCAGGTAGGGCGCAAACTCAAAGCACATGAGGTATTGAGGAGCCCTGAACAATGGGATGCAACTTCCGGCTGCATTCGGGACTTCAAGGAAGAGTCTTGCGCTCGTGCGCCGTCGGCTGCTGACCCACGGCTTTCAGTGATGGGACCCGCAAGTTGGCTGCGGCCGCGGCTCGGCTCCCTCCAATTGCTTAAGCCTGGAAAGAACTAACACCTTTCCAGTAGTGAGAGTTTCCCTTTAAAAACCAACCGGCGAAGAAAACAAATGAACAAGACATAACTTAACCCAATGGAAGGCTCCTTTCTGCCCAGCTCTCCGACGCCAAACGCACGCACATTGCCGGGCGCAAGGGTTGGGGACCACGATCTGCGTCTCCGCTGCCACAAGTGACAGCGGCCCTCGTGGAAGTAATATCTACGTCTAGGTCCTCCAGTGGAGCGGTTAGAATAAGACTACTGGCGGACCTAGACGTAGCAACTTGGCGAGGAAGAGACCATGCTAGGCGTGCCCTGCCATGCTAGGCGTGCCCTGTTGATCAACTCTGTCAAACATGATATCATGAGACTTGTCATTCCAGCCTCATCAACTTAACCCCCACCAAAGGAGACCGTGCCAAGCCAGGACCCGCGACGACTTCCACCAGCCTCCCCCCCACTGGGTGACCGCGCTGCTGCACCCTGCTGCCTCACAGAGGGCTCCCGGTCCACAAGGCCACGTTTCTACAGCACCAAACGGCGATGTGTCGAAACCATCCGCCATCCCCGGGGCTAAAGTAGAAACCCTGGCGTTTGGCTATGGCTATGCACGCGGGATGGGTAGCTTGTTTGCGGCATGCGACCTGGAAGGGTCGAAAACTCATATGCCGTTGCCCTGGCTCCTTCCGGCATGCCCCGGCAAAGTACAGGGGCTATGTTTCCAAAGCTAGAAATTGGGCAGTTCTCAGTTCCCTTGCACCTGCCACCAATGAGCCAGAAAGTTGGGTTGAAGTTCACAAACAAACAAATATTTTGACAGACAAACAAACAAAAGGCAAGCAAGCAAGCAAGCTAACAAGCTAACAAACGCACAAACAGGTGAACAAACATGAACAAACAGAAGGCCCTGGCGAAAGGGACCGGTCCAACAGCCCTACCGCCCAATTTGCAAAGGGGCCCCGGCGGCTCCTTCGACGTCACCTGGCATTTGTTGAGGCTGGGGGGTCGACGAGCGAGACAGAAAGCAAAGAGCAAACCTGGAATCCGGGGAGAAAAAACTTCAATCCACGACCAACACAAATTCAAGTACCAAACAATAGGGCGTTCGGGTCCTTCCTGTATCTCCTGTAGCTGGCTTCTTTGAAGGAAGCCGAAAGGCCTTCAACCATTTCATCTGGCAGGAGCTTGCGAAAGGGATCGGCGGTGCCTTGCGTTGGACTCGCGAGCCGTTGTGCCGGCCAAAACTGTTCCAAGCGAAAGCGGCCGTTGCCAGTGCGTGCACAAAGGGGAGCCGGCACCATTCGACTGCATTTACGTTTATGGGTATAGGTATGAGTCAAAAAGTCAACATACGGACCCCCGACATTTACAATTAAATAAATATGGTTGTCCTGTTGGTTTCCCTCTAAAGCAAACTCAACAGGGCAATTACCCTCCAAAGACACGCCATCTGGGCTGCTTTGCTAAAATCCCACAGTGTTCCATACTCATCTTTCGTTGCCTTAGGCACGAAGCGTGGAGGGCCCCGTCTCCGGAGAAAATGGGGGTTTCCTGGACCAAGGCCCTCAAACAGGGGTGCTCCAAGACACCACAACGGAAGCTTGTTCTTCTGCGAGGGGAGACCATCGGAAACAAACAAGTTATTTGCTACCCTTGCGGTTTGACCATCTTTTAACGGCTCGGAGCGCCAGGCACCCCCCCCCCAAAAAAAGAGAGCGAAAAACGAAACACTACTGGGGTGATTAATCGGGTTGCACTTTGACGCAGCCCCAAAAGAGGTACCCTCAGAAAACCGACGTCCGTCTGGGTCCCCGTTCTCCGCGCGCGCGCGCGGAATGGGCCTGTGCCCACCACTCCTTGGGCACGTCCGCCGCGTAGTCCGAGGGCACCAAATAAGCCTCGCACTCCTTGCCCTCCGCGTCCTGACTGATAATGTTAACCCCGGATTAATAAACCCCTGGTTGATTAATAGGGGGGCGTCCCCTTTTCGTGGGGATTCATCACTTTTGGAAGGAACTCCCCCCTAATAGTGGGACGGGGTTATTCATCCTGGGTCAACATTATGGGTGTGTCTTGTAGGGGGAACCTCCATTTTGTCGGCTTACTGGACTCACAACACTTTGCGGGGAGAAGATAGTCTTAAAAGGGTGAGCCGGTCATGCTCAAGGACCTGGCAAATGGTAATTGGCCCTGCTTCGCTGGGAACAGTTTGTCATTTTGGAGCACCCAGAAATGTCCGTTCGGTGTCTGTTGGTCTGATCCCTCTTTCAAACTCGTAATCCGTAGTCGGACCTACAACACAGTTTTGAACAACCAAGTTGGTGGTGTCCAAGGATGATTGTGTACATCCATCTACGTCTCATCCAGAAACTCCAAGGTGTTGTTCTTCCCCTGTTCTCGCTTAACCTGAAGAGGGTACCAACTCCAAAATCGATACCATCTCCAAAATCACACACACAAAAAACACAGAAGAAACAAACCAACACGGTGGGGGTAAAGCACCCTTGTGAGCCACCCGTGTTTGACGTACCCATGCGAGCCACCCGGACCGTCCTTCTGGTGCTGCGTGCCGAAGCCACAAAAGGCGAGGATCAGGCCTCGCGACTTTCCGGACATCTAAAGGTTGGGAATCGATCCAACATGGGTTTCGGGTTTTCCTTTAAACCACCCAAAAAGGCAAAAAGGGGTACCCTCACAAAAAGACGCCCCCGTAGGGTTGCTGGAAGAACAGGTTTACATCTGTTTGAATTGTTGCTTGCTTTCTATGCTTGCTTTCAATCGACAAAAAGTTGCCGTTTCTTCAAGGTTTGCTGAAAGGAAAGGTCGCCGGCCCCATTGAAAAAAGTTCTACTGCGCGGGGGTCGACGTGGGTGGTGAGGTGTTGTTTTCCTTCGATGCTTGGCGTCTGGCTTGAAACTGCCCAAAGCTCAAACGAAGGCGCCGGAACAGTCAGCTGATCCTTTGGCTTCAGGGATCCCGCTCTGCAAGGCCAACCCTGGGTTTGTGTGCAACCATTTTAGACCAATTGGCACAGGTTCCCTTTCACCCGCGAGTTGTGGAGACAGTCGAAACAATTGAGCATCGCCCAAAACCCATTGGCTGGTGGTTTGACTAAGATGGCCATGAAGGCTCATATGCTTGTTGGGGGTGGTTTAAAGGGAAACCAAAAGGAAAAGCCACCCATTTCGGGGTTCCCCATGGGCCTTTCCATGATCCATACAACTGCGACTCTATGACGTTCTCTGCAGTTGTTTTTGTTGAATCGTTCCTTGAAGGGCTGGTGTCATGTGTTGCTGCTTGCTGAACCGCTCCTTTGAAGGGCGGGTTTCATATTATTGTTGTTTGTTGAGTCGGTGCTGAAAGGGCTGCTTTCGTATGTTGTGTTTGCTTGAACTGCTCCAAAGGGCTGGCTTCATATGTTGCTTTTCTTTGAGCTGATCGAAAGGGGGGCTCTCGCTTTCACCTCCGTCGGGTTGGGGCGCCGGCTGTCTCCAGGCTGCGCACCCTCCATGAGCCTGCGCTTCGCAAGCGGCTCAGACGTGTTAGGTTTTGCGGTAAAAGGAACGCAGGAGTCTAAAACCCACTTCCCGAGTGATGGCCCAAGCAGTGTCCAAACTTTTTGTTCGCCACCAAAATGGTCCAAAGTCCCAAAAAGTATCTAAAGTCCAGGAACTCGGGCAGTGAGAAAGCCGCATGGTTGGGACTATCGGACTGGCAATCGGGGACTTGTTTGAAGCCTAAAAATATTCTCAGAGGGGCGTAGAACAGCCAGTCTTGGCTTCCAAGTGGCTTCCCTTTAAACTCCTCTCCCGTCACTAGCATGGAACATGGCTGAGGGGGTGTGAAGACTATGTTCCTTTAAAAAGGGCGCTCTGGAGGGTTTCCATGCTCGTGGACCGGAGGGTAACCATCCAAACAAACGGGTCCAAAAAAAACAAAAACAATTATGCCGCCAGCAAAAAAAGAGGCCGAGCCTTGCTTCGTTGAGCCAAAAGGAAGGAGGGTGAGAGCCTTTTTGGGGTGCGAATGGACCACCAGAAGCAAACCTATATACATAGTATATGTATGTGTATATATATATATATATTCATTTTTATAAATATATCTATATAATTATACTATATATATCTTGGGCAACGGCAACAAGAAGGTGATGTTCGAAGCAGCCTTCAAGGCCTAGTCTCCTTCCAGTTGCTTTCTCCATTAACTCACAAAACGTGATGCACTTTTTGCCAGAGGGCTCCTTCCAGCAAAGGTATTTGGTGTAGACTGCTTCCAGTTGCTGGAAACTAAGGGTTCCAAAAAAGGTGGCCTTGGGGGTCCATTTTGCAGGAGCCTAGGATGGAATTCTTCCAGTTGCTGAAAGGAATATTTATTAATTGTCCCCTGGTTTTAGAGGCAATCAACTTCACGACTGGAACTAAAGCAGCAAACGGAGGTCTCGTTGTGGCAGAGAGTTCCTTTAAAAGCGTTTGCGCCTCATGCTCCGTACCGCCCCTACGAACAAATGTGTAGCGGGGCCAGAGGCCACCATAGAACCAATGTCGACTGGTGTTCTTTGGGTCCGGAACTTCGGAAGTTCGACTTCAGTGGTCCAGAGGGTGCCTGTGTCCTTTTTTGCTTGGCGGCTTCCCTCGAACCCAATTGCACCAGCCTAGACCCCACAAAGCAAAACCTGCTTACCCCTGTTTGCTTGGCGGCTTGGTGGCCTTCCCTACTAAGAATCGTGAACCCATTTACACCAGCCTGGACCCCAGATAGCGAAAAACAGGCCGATGATTGCACACCAGCACATCTAACAGCACCCCTTGCGAAGAGCGTTCCAAACCTGTCAAGCTCGCAAAAACGTGCCCGCACTGTCAGCAGCACCCAAAAAGCAGCACCTGTTCATGCTCCCAACGCGACCGCGCCCGTCACCAGCACCCCAAAACTGCATGCCCCTACCTGCACCAGCAACCCAAACTGCACACCCACTACCAGCCGTCAATCTCGCAAGTGGAAATTTGTCGGGATTCCCGGAAACAAGGGCCCAAAAATCATTCAAAGCTGTCTCACTTCTCAAAGGTGCGGCCACAATCGAGTTCTCAATCTTGATGACACCGCTAGCAAGGCGCGTCACTCGCCAACTTGGGGTGCTCTCACATGGGATTAAAATGGGAAGTTAATTAGAACACAAGTAGCAATTGGGCAATTTGCCGCAGTGCCCTTGGCTTCTTTGATGAGCAAAAACACACATTCGAGTAAACCAGCAGGCCCGGCCAACTTCGGGAAATGCCCAGAGAAAGCTCTGCTTGCTTGAGGTGCCACAAACGGACCATGCCATTGTCCCTCGCCTCTGGCCGAAAGACTCCTCCCGACACAAGGCGGCGCGCGGCGCTCCTCTTTCTCGGGGCAGAAGCAGTGGGTCCAGGGGCTGTGCTTGCAAGTAGCAGGCTGAACTCTCTTTGCTGCTTGGCTCACTTTCTGAGTGGACTCGCCAAAACATGCTCCAACTGCTAGGTTTGGCACCAAAAGAAACGAAAACAGGCCATCCCACAAAGTGGATCAAGTAACCAGAGACTCAGGAAGTGAGTGTCACGGCCACAAATGATTTAAATGGGGCCTAAAAATTTGGGGGCTTGGCCGTATGGCTCATAATTTGAGCCTCACGTTGCCCGGGAGCAGGGATAGCTTCCAGGGTTGGACAAACACGAAGACCTTCTACCTGTACCTTCCCCATTCTCTTCAAATGGGCCAACCCAAATGGGAAAATGGGCGGATTCTCAAAAAAATGGGTTGAAGAGAATGGGGACTTTAAAAAGGCATGGTTTCTCACCAAATTTGCCCAACCCTGCTACCTTCGCGCAAACCTGCAAGCCCTCCAGGCCTTGCTGTACCCACCCCACCCCGAGCTCGGCTTGAGAAAAAATGGGCGGCCTGCTGCCACGCAGCGTCCCAACTTCCACCACCGCAGCGGTGGAAATCGGCAAAGACCCTGCGCAACTCACGAGCTCACGCGCACTTGCCGAACATCTTCGCAATGGCGGTGAAACCTGCGACTGATGCGAAGCCCCATTGCTTGAACGACATTCAAATGGCCCTGGGTCAAAAGCCTGTACCATCCAGTACCCACTAAAATAGACTAAAATGGGTGGTGCACCTACCCCAAGATGTTACCATTGGCTCTGACCACAACCAATTGAGTCCCTCGAGAAGCTTTGGGGGCATCTCAAGAGCCTTTCTGGCAAACACTGACACGACCTGGGCTCAGAACTTTCCTGAGCTGGCTGTGGCCTCATGGAGATATCTCTGGCACCCAAGCCAGTGATTGTGCAAGCTCGGAAACCGTTTTTGAATCGCCAACTGTGGCAATTGCCCAACAGGAAGTACCTGAACAAAGTGTAATTGCATGTATTGACAGTGACAGACCGGGTGCCAGTGGCTGAGTGGATCTTCAAAGCACCCCATGGTTTCTCATCGCAATTCTGGCACGCCAAAATGGAGGAAACAGCAAGCCTGGAAACTAAAGCAAGAACCTTGAACACCCAAGGACTCCGCAATTCAAGTGAAGTAGCCCCCCCCAACATGCGTGGGTTCCTTGTGGTTTCCCTTTACCACAACGGCTTTCATGACAAAAAGACACCCAGTTCTGACTATCCCAAGCACCACCATAGTTTTGTCTATGCACCTGTTGCGTGCAAATTTAGGCCGATGTGCAACGCAATGTTTCGCAAACACGAGCCTGGTCAATGACTGACAGTTCAAAGACGAAGACTTAAGCAACTAGACGCTGATATATCGCCAGCCCATCGCAAGATCCCATCGAAACCTCGCGCCTTCATTATATTGCGACGCACATTCGGAGTACTGAGTCGTCATCGTGGAGAAAGTAAGGGACAAACCCGGGATCAAGGTGACCATAGCCGCGGCATTGCCTGGCGAACGCTGATCTCCGGCTTCTCATGTGTTTTCTCAAAATGGCCTGGTTTTGCAGGCAGCCTAAACCCTAAGCACAAGTCATAACAACTTCAATAATCCGCCTCTCCACTTTGGTTTGTTCGGAGATCAAGTTCATTCTGGCCAGTGGATGGCATTTTTCCATTTGGCCAGCAACACAGTATATCACTCCCTGAGTGTATTGGCCAGATCAAGTCATAATCATAACAAACAATTTACACTAAAATGATCTTCACCAAGAGTTGAAAGTCCGGGAACTCAGGGCGTGAGTTATTGCGCCACTGTTCAATGGATAGGAAATTCTGGTCGAAGGAACTCAGGGACGGAGCTCTGGCACAGGATGCGCCGCCACTCTCACTGCCTCACTTGCTGTTTGGTTGCTGTGAAGCGCGATGGGTGCCTTCCGTGGTGCATATGCCCAGAGTCAGACACCTGGAGCTTTGTCAATTTACCGGCAGAAGTCCTTGCTCTTTACTGAGCGATCCGCGCAGTGGCCCCTTGCTACCCTGGAAGTTCTGACCTTCAGCGGGTCCTGAAAAACACACCCAAGACTGGCGACTGGGGCAGAAAGGGGAGCCACAAAAGGGGAGTTAGAAGGAGGACGCTCAGCAACCAGGTCCTCTTTGTTTGGGAGGAAAAAACCACAAGAAAATGGATCTTCAGGGTGCATCTGTCCCTTTTTTTCCCCCCGCAAAGAGCTCGTAATTCCAGTGATCCAGCCCATGAGTTGGCCAAGTCACCCAAAGAGCCCCACCCGACTGTGCACAGTCAACATGACACTCTAAATCATCCCCCCAGCCCCCCAACCCCCCCTCCCTCCCAAAAGTCAAAAAGAAGAGCCGCCTTGAGAGACCCCTTCACATGCCTCGCCTGCTTCGGGCTGCGTTCCAAAACTCGGTCCTTAGGCCCCGGCCTCGTGCGGCGTCCTCCCGTTCCAGGGCCTGAATCTTCCGCGCCAGCTCCTCGTCCGAGAGCCCCTCGTCCGGGCTCGGCAGGCCTGGCGAGACAGCCCACGGCCCATCGGCTTAAGCCCCCCAGGTCCAGCAGTGATAAATTCCCATAAAAAAAAGAAAGAAAAAAACAACTGAAAATATAACATAGTCTTCAGCAAACCAGGTGTGTTGGCAACCCTGGGTCCTGGGTGGGTCCAAGAAAGGAAGGAAACCAAAAAGGAGCTTGCTTGAGAACCGATGGCATCACCGGATTTTGACGTCCACCAGTTTGGGTCCCGAATTGAAGTTATACCCATCTGGTTTGGACATTGCGCTTTCACTGTGTTGGCTTGTGAGCATCTGCGCCGCCCTGTTCTGCGGGCTCTGGTTCACAAGGGGGCATTTTGCCCTCCAACTTGTCTCGAAAGTTTGGCACATCACCCAATTCTTGAGTTTGCTGCCGGTTGGTTCAAACATACGAGCCAATGTACTCGACTCCTTCCTGAACTGCTCCAAATTTCAGGTATGTGAAGTACAGAACAAATGCCAAGGTTTTCAGTGAATCCCAGTTTCCAGTAGAGCGGGTAACCAGCTAGTTTCCTTTTGGTGTTTCAAATGTTGTTCCCTTGGTTTCCTGGCGGTATTTTTCTTTCAACGGCCGGTTGGTTGGAACTCTTGGTTTTGCAGCGTGTCGGATCCTGCATCCAGCCCATTGGCGACATTCAGATTAGGTTTGAGCCTCGTTGACTCGTTGCATGTTGGCTTCTATTTGAAGCCCCCGCCCTTCCCCCCCCCTCCCCAAAACGCCCCTCGTATTGGAAAACACCTTCAGGCTTGGATCTGAGGCAGGTTGGAGGAACAAGATGGCCTCGATTGCAGTGGGTGCCTGGCATTTAGTATGACTGAAAACAGGTTTCTCCCTTTTTGACGTGGAAACGCCTAGGGATCCTTTGGGTTGTTCTTTTCTTTGAGGCTCTCTGCAAAAGGGAACTATCAGATCGTGCATTCGCCCAGGTTTTGCTGAAAAGATCCATGTTGCCCCTGCCTCCTGACCCCCCTTTTGGTTGGTACTTTAAAAATTGAGGCCAAGAAGGACACCTGAAAAACCTCAGGGGGGAACTCTCAACTTTGGGAGAGAAACACCCCCCCGCCTTTACTTCCCTGGGCGATTCTCACAACCACCCCCCACTTTTCCTGGACGAAATCCATTTCGCACCACTTGGAAACCATGGGACACCATCGTTTCTTGGTATTTACAGGGGAATCATCAGCACCAGGGTTTCTGAACGGTGGGGCCTAAGAGGATTTCGCAACCATCCACAGAATTTCGCCCCCCTCCCTTTCAACGCCCGGCCCCGGCCTAGCTGCTCGCTCAGCAGGCTGTGGCGGTGACTGTGCAGGAACCTCCGGATGCCCTCGGCGCCCAAGTTCCCCGCGCCGAAGCCCTGGCCGTCCGCCGTGTGGATCTGGGGATCTGTGTAGAAGGTCCCCACCCCCTGGATGTCGCACACCACCTGAGCACCAAAAAAGAAGACTCCATGGATGGCGCAGGTGGGGAATGAATGACTCGAGCTTCCGGGTGTTTTTTCGAATGAACCCTTTGATTCCCGTAAAGGAACCCTCGGTCATTCCCTGAGAACTCGGAAAAACCAACCTCATCACACGAAGACGTGATGATGCGATAGGAAACGACTCTTCCAGTTTCCGAGTGGGAATGAAGCTTTTGATTCCCTTAAAGGAAACCACAAGGAATTGTTTCTGGGGGTCATTCCCTTATTCCCTGTTGAGAACCAGCAAGAAAACCGACCTTTGAAATGAAAGACTCTTGGGAAAATGGATGGGCTTGTGTCCTGAACAAATGTCTGGATTCATATTGGAGCCTAAACGAAACCAGCGGCATCCATGTTCACCCGAACTGACTTAGGACACCAATGAGTGGGAGCCTGATGGAAATGTATGTCTGACAAGGCTTCAGGAGACTTCCCCATGTCATTACTTCACACGAGACCCAACCAAATCCTATCTTCCGGGGACGAAACATTTTTCGGCAACAAACCACGCGCTTGCTCGGTCGGCAAATGTGTGTGGGTAAAAAAATGGGGGGCCCAAATAAAGAAAATGTGTTTTTCCTGGTTTTCCTGTAAGCAAAGGTGAAAAGGCTTGAGCTCAAAGAAACACCCGTGGATTCTAGTCAAGCACTGGGCCACCGGATTTCCGAAGCATCCTGATGAGAAGGCAAAACAAGGCTTTGTCTCTAAGGAGAGTCCTGGTTTCCCCAAGTCTTGCCCCGAAAAAGGGCAAGGGTTACGCAGGTTTTGGTCCATCTTTCTTCTTCTTCCCAGAGTTCCATTTTGGGTATCGGTTTTTGGAGCCACAGCCATATTTTTGTGAAAGCCAAAGGCTTCGGTTTGAGCAGCCCATGTTTGATAGTAGGTAGATAGGTAGATAGGTTTGTGTGTTCGACTCCAAGCTGACCAGGTAGCCACGGTGTATAATGGATTGTTGGCAGCCATTAAGAGTTAGAGAGTGGAAGTCAGCTCATTCATCAGTTGGTCAGCTAGATGGCTATGTAGTCCGTTGATTTGCTTCGTCAGGCCAATCAGTTTGGGTCGAATTAGCAAGTCAGTCAGCAAGTTGGCTGGCCGTCCTCTCGTTGGTGGTGCCACTTGCGGCTGGTAGCCATGGGTCAAAGGCTCTTGCCCTTCAGAAGGTTTTCAGCTTAGGAAAAACAGAGGCAAGGTGTCCTGTTTAAGTTTTGAGCCACACCCATATCAGACAAAAAAATGATCAGGGGCACCAGCTGGGCGCCGGAAACGATGTAGGAGAAATAGGAGAAGGCTGCCGCCGTCTCGTCGTCCGTCTCACGATGGCCTAACCATGGACACCCAGAGATATCCATGGGTCTTAAAATAGGGGGACACGCCCCAAAACGGCGTTTTGCTCCTTGTGGCTTCCCTTCAAGCCCGTCCAAACGAAGGGGGCCCTCAAGAATGCCAAACCGAACTTTTTGGGGAGCTTTGAGTACCACGTTTCATTTGCTGAGGCTAGAGTAAGATATGATCCCCAGCATCTAATGGCCTAGCGGCCAGGGGTGGTCAAGTGACCTCGCCTGGGCCATCTTGGGGCTGGTCGGTTTCAGTCTTTGGGCGCCTAAACATGAACCCCACAAGGCGACCTTGATCAGAATTCGGTCTTCCAACATCCTGGGTGAATCAACATATTTCACCCACCTTAAATAAGGTGGTTGGGGGAATAGCCCCCCACATAAACCACCATTGGGGGTGAGGTCGTGTGAGGTCGTTATCATTCACCTAGAACATCGAAGCGCCTGCATTGTCGCTGTGCTTCACATAGTCTCCGTCCAAGTAGGGCTCCAGGCACAATGGCTCCTGGTCGACACAGAGGCCCACTGTCCGACGGTCACTCGCAAACGGAGTCACAATCAAAACCTGGTACAAAAATGGTGAACCCAGAACCATGTAAATAATTAAGAAGGCGGCCGCAGCTATTTTGTGGTTGGGAGTGTCCCTTACTAACCTTCATCTACCCGGATTTTGATCGTGGCTCTGAAATTACCCAACCCCGCAAGAACTTGAGACTTGCCGCGGCGTCTGTTTTCGCGTGAGGCATGTTGTCAACACCAAAGCTGTCTGCGTTCTGTCACCGCAATGGCAGTTCCGCCCGGCAACGCCCCTGAGAAATGGCCGTGATATGCCGTGAGTCCCTCCACGAGGCTAACTGGGTTCTAAAATGCCTTCGAGGATACATGTCATAGCTATCAAATCTGTAGCTTCTACACAAAAATTCGACAGCCTGAAATACGGCACCCAAGTATCATGAGTTTTCGCTCGTCGCCGGGGATCGGTGGGCTCGAAATCCAGCAAATCAGCTTAAACTATTATGCGTTCGGAACCATAAGTAGAGCAGGCAAAGGCAGAGAGATGCTGTGCGTAAACGAAATCCCGCCACCTAAGAAACCCTGAAATGATTCGATTCCCCAGACTCGCGGATTTTTCGCGTCCCACAGCAAGAGCTCAGATGTGGCCATGGGTCAAAATCCCGTACCCCCAGTGAACATCCCAATCCCCACTAAAATCCCGACTAAAATGAGTGGTGCAGCTACCCCAAAATGGTACCATTGGTTTTGACCCAAAGCCAGATATCTCTCCTGATAGCCGTCCAGCTTGATCACAGAGACCGGCAAAAAGGCGATGCGATTCGGCAGCCCAGCTTGGCAGCAGGCCTTGTTGAAGTCCTGTCCAGAGTGCGTTACCCTCCATTGGCCACCCCCCCTGGAAAAAATGCAACACGTCTGGCCGGTGCTGGATTCCCCTTTAAGACCAATCGCCAAAACAAGGAAAACTCAACATTCGACCAAACGGGCTTTCTTGCAAGGGGTTTGGGAAAACCACTCTCGAACAATCCGAATCTTGTGACTTAACATGCTTGAATTCTGAAATAAAAGGACGGCTTGGCAATCGGAAGTTGGAGGTACCTGGCAACTCTGTACCAACAATCATGACACCTCAGGAAAGTCTGAAGGTTAGTTTTGGCAAACCACTTGCCTGAAGCCGAAGCCTCCTGTGAACGTCCGCAAATCTCAGAGTAGTCCGGGCGAAGTATGAAAATGCACAAACGCAAACAAGAAAGAGACCTTGATCATGGGCTTGCCCTCGTTTTACCCCCGATCGGTGAAACTCGTGAATTCATTTGCCCAGAGTGATACTGGACTCTTCAAAGCACCACTCTGGTGCTACTGAGGCCTTATTCGCAAAACGGTGCCTCCTTTTTGCCGCATAAGGGTTAGTGCCAAAATGGGAGGATTGCCCAGCTCCACTGGGCAGCTCCCCTCAGCAGCTGATGGGAGTAGGATTGATGCCACTCCCACAGCGAGGGAGGAATCCTCCCACCTCACCGGATGCCCTCCCGGCATCATGGGTGGGGAAGGAAAGTAGCGAAGATCAGTGTGATCAATTCGCTTTCGACTGAGGGGAAGACCCGGTTCTCAGTCGGAAATTGCGGGTCCGGATGAGTAAGTTCATCCGCCCACGTGTTAAAGTCGCGCTTCACATGCGACGGCCCCAACATGACCTGCTGGTCATGCAGCGTTAACACAATTTCCATGAGGATGGCCGCATTGGGCATCCTGCGAGTGGAATCGTTAAGAAGGGAGAAAACATTTCCCTGGTTATCACTAGCAACCAGGATCCTAGTGTGAGAAGCCGAGCCGGCTGCACAAAGCAGAACGGCCCTCACCAAAAGGAGGAGGCCGAAGAGCTCCAAGGCCGCTATCGCCCGCTGCGGGTCCCCAGTAGTGAAGGCCCACGGCTCGCTCTCCGGTGTGATTCTGTGCTGGAACCACTTCACACGGGACTTGTCGGGGTTGGGCACGTCCGAGCACCAACCACCAACCCATGCATGGTCTGCCTGTCTGCCAGCTCCCGCATCAGATGCCCCCGTCCATGGGAGTGTGGGAGCAAACGGAGATGCCAGTGGGAACCTCTGGTTGAAGAGTCTCCCCAAAAGGATGGCCAGAGCACGAACCAGCTTCGGTGGCCTGCCCGAAGTGGTGCAGGCCTTCTTCCAGCTCCAAAAGGGCTGGAGGAAAGGTTTCGTCAATGGGCATGCCGAAGTAGCCCATTGAATACGGCCTAGGGCTTGTTCCACCTCCTTGCTGGTGAAGATGTCCCCCTGGGCCAGCCGTTTAAGAGTGGCCAGGATTATGACGTGTTTGACTGGAGCCAGCAGTACACAGGGCGTGATTGGGTCCACCACAAAGCCCAACCAGGTATTGATCGGGGAGAGCGCCGTCTTTTTCCAGGAAAGCGGGACTCCCAGCGCCAGCAGTGTAGCCAGGATGGCTGTGGCGTGTAGCCAGGATGGCTGTGGCGTCCCAGCCCGCCCGGCTGCATCTGAGGACCCAGCAGTAGTCGTCCACAAAGACTAAGTGCCAGTCCACCTGAGGGAAGATGTAGTACAAGAGTCTGAGCACCAAGGATGCCTTTCTTCCCCAGTACAGTTGTGCCGAGGCCATGCCGTACGTGCCCACTCTGTTGACCCACCACCGGTTTTGGATGCAGGCCACCTGGTATTTCCAGTCTTTCGGGAGCACTTTTATACGCCTGTGGGCCTTGGTGACATCCGCCTTGAGGATGATGAAGGTTTCCCCCTGTGTCGGCGGCTGCCACATCAGGGGTTCCCCCCTGATCCCCCCAGGGCGTTCCGTGCCCGGGGGGGTTGGGGGGAAGGGGGCCCTCCTATCAGGGCCCTCGGCACCTGGGAGTGGTCCCTTCCCTGAGGGTGTCGACCCCAGAGAGACGTCCAGGCCGCCGGAGGTATCCATCATCCCCCTGCCCCGATCAGGCCCCTCGGCCCTGGGGGGCAGGCTGGTGCTGTGGGGGTCCGCGTGGCTCGAAGTAGATGGGGATGGTCCGTCGCTGTCCTGAGCCAGTGGATGGCGTGGAGGCAGTCTCCAACCATCGGTGCAGTGGTCTTCTCCCCCGTATGAGCCTGGATGTGTGCGTTTGCTCCCCCTTTCGAGCCATCGTAGATCGTCCTGATCTTGTCTGACTCATCAATCCCCGCAAGGGGGCCCGGGCAAAGTTCCTCCGGTTTGCAGCGGCACCTCTCTGCCGCCTCTTTCACTGGCAAAGAGTTCAGCCGTTGGGTAGTTATCATGGGCCACCGGCGGGGGGGGGTCTTCCCCCAGCCAGGCTTCTCCCTTAAGCTCCTCCTTAGTCGGCCAAACTCCGGGGGAGGTCAAGGTAGGGTCCGAGACTCCCAAGGGGACCCCCTCTTTCAGTGTCAGGGGGAACTCCCAATCAGGGTCACTTGAAAGGGATGCCAAGTGCGAAACTAGGTCCAGGAGGAAGGGTTGACCTGGGCATCGTTCATGGAGGTGCCTAGGTCCCAGGATAGCCCGCAGCTCATCGAGGTCGGCTTCCTGGAAGGGGTGTGTGGTGGCACCTGATGCCAGGGACATCCGGACCTTGTCAATCCAGGGCCGGGTAAGGGTCATGATCAGGGCGCCCAAAGTAGCCAAAGGGGAAATTCTCCGAAAGGGGGGGTTGAGCCTCCCCGGGGAAGGTTTCCCCCCCCCATCCCTCAGGGGGCGTGAGCGGAAACCCAATTGGACAATCGCAACTCGGTCAATGAGGCGTGGGACCCTGAAAGCGGGCAGGCATTCGGGGCGGTCCAGGACCTGGTCCCCATGTTCTTCCTTCCCCAGTTGTTCCGCATCTCCGGCCATCGGGGGCATGGGAGATGGGAAGTCTGGGTTCATTGTTCCACGAGGGCTTACGGTGTCTGCCTCAAGGTGGATGTGCCCGTGCTGGCGGGGCTTCGGGGCATTCTTGCCTCCGGGCTTTGGGCCCTGGTGTGATGAGGAGGGACCGCCTCCCTGATTGGGTCCCCGTTTTCCCCGGGGGGAAGGGCCCTCCGGGGGGTCCGACCCCCGCCCCTTAGGTGGTTCCTTAGGGTTTCCCGGGAATTGTGAGGGGATCCGGATGTGCCCCGGCGCTGCGAGTGACACAGCGATGGCTTTGGCCAGGCCTGCCATCATATCCCAAGGGTATCTGCTAAGAGTCGAGGACTCGTTGGTGCCCACATGTGACTGATGCGTGCACCGCATTTGATCCCATCCTGAATTGGGAGATCCGTGGCCAGCGTAGTGGCCTTCTTGACCAGCTGGCCCAGGCGGCACTGGTCGAAGGAGATTGCTGTCAAGGAGTTTTCCATCCAAAGCTGCCCCTCCTCCGTGATCCAGAAGGATGAGCATTCCTTGGCTTTGGGCAGCGAGCTGCTCACCACTGGGTCCTCCGGGTGCTCCAAGAAGGACTTTGGCCCTGGCAGAGAAACCGCCGCTCTTGAGGCCCTTGCCAGGCTGGTGATGTACATCTGCCTCAAAATGAGGATACTGTCATCATCAAGCTGAGTCTGGGCGGCCTGGTCCAGGTGTGGGAGGCCCCAAAGTGTCTCTCGAGTGCGCCCTCGCACCGGGGTGGGGGCCCCCGGTTTTGGTATGTGGCGCAGGATGGACCATGTCCTGCAGTTGGGTCCTCCTCCAATGAAGACCACTCGGCCCTGCTTTGCTGCCGTGCAGAGAGCTCCATACAGCTCGGGTTGGAGCATGTCGTGGTTCCCTTTTGGTCCCGATCGTAGGATGTCTACCGCCACCACCATGCTGGAAAGGTGTGGGTAGTTGGCATGAAGACAGCTGTCCAAGGAAGTTGGGTCTTCCTTGCCTGCATAGAGCAGGACAATAATGGGCCCACTGGATGGAACTTTGGGCGATGTGCCCTGTGTCCATCTCAGCCGCTGTACCAAACGCTCCGGGATGTTCTCCATCCACGGGAAGATGTCCCATCCCGGTGACGGCTCCGTGGGACTTGTCAGGGGGGTAGCTGAAAGGCGCTGGCCCCCTTCATTCAGCCCAACCGAGCTCTTATAAAAAACCACCGGGTCCTGCTTGATGATGTTGGGCGCCGGAAGTGGGATCGGCTGCCTCCTGGGCGTGTTCCTTGGCGTTGCGGTGTGCTGCCAGTTATCCGGCAATCGGGCCTGCTGGGCGCGGCCCCCCGTGTCAGGGCCCTTGGCACCTGCAGGGAACCGTCCCGTCCCTGCCGTTTCAGGGCCCTCGGCACCCGTGGCTCGGGGCTGAGGCGCCGCCGTTGTGCCAGCTGTGTGGTTGTTCTGACCCCAGCGAGGGTGTTGTGCACGCTGGTTCTGCCGTCCCCATCCTTGTTCCGCCGAGGATGGCCGCCACCTGGCCTGTCCCCCCCCTGTGTCAGGGCCCTCGGCACCTGCAGGAGGGGGCTCATGTGCCTGCTTGGGGCGTTTGCGCCCCCTCTCGCCCCCCCGGGCCTTATCAGGGCCCTCGGCACCTGAGGCCTCCCGGGGGGTCGGGGTCAGCGCCCCTAGTCAACCCGGGCAGTCCTGCGGGAGGTGGTCTCCCAGGCAGATGCGGCCCGTTGCCAGGATGAGGTTGCACTTGTGGGTGCGTCCGCAGTTGCCCGGGCAGCGCCCGCGCATCCAGTTGTTACAGAACTGGTTCCCTTTCGGATCGGTGGCCGCCTGCTTGTTACCGCCCCTGGACGCCTGATTGTTCGGCTGGGGGGGCTTACCTTTCCCTTTGCTCCCAGGCTTGCCCCTAGACTTCCCCTTGCCCTTGGACTTGTTCTTGCCCTTCTGGGGTGGTGCGTAGTCCATGGATGTCCTGGTTTGTGGGCGGCCCCTGGAAAAGGTCCTGATCTTCTC